GATCAGGGCTCAGTCCAGAGTCCAGGCTCAGCCTGGGATCAGGACTCAGTCCAGGGTCAGAGCTCAGCCTGGGATCAGGACTCAGTCCAGGATCAGGGCTCAGCTTCAGAACACACTGTTTCTCTCTGTGAATGTGCCTGAGTCGGTCGCCCTTGTGAGGTTGAGACTGAGGCTGGGTGGTCCTACCGCACAGGGTGGCACCTGGCAAGACTTGGCAGCTTGTCCCACCCCCGGCCTCACACCCCAGCGGCCTGTACAGCCCCTCCTCCCACACCTCCCCCTTCAGATCCGTTTCTGCTTGGTCACCTCCAGTGACGAGATGCTGCCACCTCCCCAGCAGCACTCGATCTGAGCGTCCCTGTCACTGTGGTGTCCCCAGAGCTGGACAGGGAACAAAGGGAGGGGTGCTGGTCAGGGGCCCCAGTCTCCTGCCCACCCTGCCCCTCACGGGGAGACCAGACCCCCTTGTGGGACACCTGTGCCCGTTATGGGATCTGTCCCTCCCGCTCAGACCTCTGGGTGGCTCCGCTCCACGGAGCCCCCACCACTTCCTCTCCTCACCTGGTGCCCCCACCCCCAGTCCTCCACCGTCTCAGGTTGAGTCAGTCTGCGCGGGTTCAGGATGGACGTGGGATGAGGGTGGGGTGAGCCCCCCACTTTTCCTGTGGGCCCCGCCCACTCCAGAGGTGAGGGGCTGCCTGGGGGTGTCCACAGCTCTGCTTCCAACAGGGACATCTCAGGGGCAGGAGAGACAACTGAAAACCCTGGTGAGGGGGGTCCTGGCTGAGACCCGGGCGCATGCATACTGTTGAGCTCCCTCTGTGCATCCTCCCCAGGGACCCCCTCTCCAGGCCTCAGTTTCTCCTGTGGACAGATATACTGCAAGTCAGCCCTGGCCCTGCCATCCTTGCCTCCGGTGGGGTAGCTGTTGGTGCTCATGTGTGTGCAGTCACTGGACATGCACTTATTAAGCACCTACTGTGTACCCAGCAGGCCTGGAGCCGTGGGGAGCCGGTGATGGAACAGCAGGGTCCTGGAGGGGGTGGCTCCGGGTGGGGAAGGGGGAGTCGCCCAGCCTGGGAGGGGTGGCAGGTGCCGTCGGGGGGCCGTATCCCCTTCCCTCTGGGCCCTCCCCGGCTGTCGGCTTTCGAGGACCGGAAGGGGGCCGAGACGGGGTCTCTGGTGGAGGGTGGCCGCAGCGCCCTCCCGGAGGCGCCGGGTGGGAACCGACCGTTGCGATGCTCCTCCCCGGCCCGGCCGCACCCCCACGCTGGGGGTACCTTGAACATAACAGGAAATTTCAAATAACAGGAAACCAAGATCGGGGAAGGCAGGCGGCTCCACCCTGCCCGGGGCGGCCACCCCGGGCCTCAGTCTGCCCCGGGGGACCGCCATGAACGCCACGGGGCCCCCGGCCGAGGCGGCCGAGTCCTGCCAGGAGCTGGCGGCCGGCGGGCACAGCCGCCTCATCATCCTGCACTACAACCACTCGGGCCGGCTGGCGGGGCGGCCGGGGCCCGAGGACGGGGGCCTGGGGGTCCTGCGGGGGCTCTTCGTGGCCGTGAGCTGCCTGGTGGTGCTGGAGAACCTGCTGGTGATGTTGGCCATCGTGACCCGCATGCGCTCCCGGCGCTGGGTCTACTACTGCCTGGTCAACATCACCCTGAGCGACCTGCTCACGGGCGCCGCTTACCTGGTCAACGTCCTCTTCTCGGGGGCGCACACCTTCCGCCTGGTGCCCGCCCAGTGGTTCCTGCGGGAGGGCGTGCTCTTCGCGGCGCTGGCCGCCTCCACCTTCAGCCTGCTCTTCACGGCTGGCGAGCGCTTTGCCACCATGGTGCGGCCGGTGGAGAGCGGGGCCACCAAGAAGGGCCGCGTCTATGGCTTCATCGGGCTCTGCTGGCTGCTGGCCGGCCTGCTGGGCCTGCTGCCGCTCCTGGGCTGGAACTGCGTGTGCGCCTTCCAGCGCTGCTCCAGCCTGCTCCCGCTCTACTCCAAGCAGTACATCCTCTTCTGCGTGGTCATCTTCGCCCTCATCCTGGCCACCATCACCGCGCTCTATGGGGCCATCTTCCGGGTCGTGCGGGCCAACGGGCAGAAGGCGCCGCGCTCCCCGGTCCGCCGCAAGGCCGACCGGCTGCTCAAGACGGTGCTCATGATCCTGGTGGCCTTCGTGGTGTGCTGGGGGCCGCTGTTCTGTCTGCTGCTGGCTGACATCTTCGGCTCCAACGTCTGGGCGCAGGAGTACCTGCGAGGCATGGACTGGATCCTGACGCTGGCCGTGCTCAACTCCGCCGTCAACCCGCTCATCTACTCCTTCCGCAGCCGCGAGGTGTGCCGGGCCGTGACGGGCTTCCTCTGCTGCTGCTGCCTCCGGCTGGGCCTGCGGGGGCCCGGGGACTGCCTGGCCAGGGCGGCCGAGGCCCACTCCGAGGCCTCCACCACCGACAGCTCGCTGAGGCCGCGGGACAGCTTCCGGGGCTCCCGCTCGCTCAGCTTTCGACTGCGCGAGCCGCTGTCCAGCATCTCCAGTGTGCGGAGCGTCTGAGCACAGCCGGCCGCGGGTGCATCCCCGGGCTCGGCTGGGGAGGAGCCCCGGGAGGGGTGGGCCGAGGGCCCGAGGGGCGCGCAGGGATGGAGAGGAGGGGACGGAGCAGCCAGCCGAAGCCCCGTGGTCCTCTGGGCCTGCCGACGCCAGGAGGTTCCCGTGGGCTCCTCTCTCCGGTGCAGAGAGCGCCCTGAGTGGGGGTGCGTGGGTTTGCTCCGGACGCCCCCGGCTCCTGCGTGATTCTGGGGGAGCCCTGGCCCCTCTCTGGCCTCAGTGTGGCTCCCAGGCTGCAAGGGGCGGGTTGTGGGGTGGACGCCCCGGCAACATGGAAGTTCAGTGACGGTGTGCAACGTGGCAGCCTCCCTCCTATGCTCGTGTGTGCATGGGGGGCTGTGGGTCTGCCGGCTGCGTGCACGGAGGTGTGCCCGTGGACAGGCAGGGCCGGGAGCCTGCATGCCTTGGGGAGCAGAAGAGGTTGTGCCCGCGAGCGTGTGCTGGCGTGTCTGCGTGTGCACAGCCATCTCCGCGTGGGGCAGGTCTGAGGGCGCCTGTGACCCGACCACTCTGCCGCAAGTGTGTGTGAGAGCATTTGCAGCTGCCAGGCCGGGGTGGGGGCGGGGGGGACCTAGTGACAGTTGACGGCGGCCCCTTCCTGCTCACTTCCCCTTTCCCTGCCCCCAGCTCTTGTCTCGGGCCCCTGCAGCCTCCTTCCCCCCCAGCTCTGGCCTCTGCATCTCCTGGGGGCCCCGTCGGGGGGGCCGGCAGAGGACAGCCGCCTGGCTCTCCCGGCCTCGGGGAATCTCCCCCACTCCTCTCGAACTCCCTGGTGAGCACAACGGGGCTCACCTTCCGCATCTGTAAAATGGGCTGAGAACAGACGGTACCCACGGCAGGAGGCTGCCGGGACGTGCTCAGCGCTCCCAGTGATGGAAGTGTTCTAGACTTCTCCGTCCACTCCGGAACCCCCACCTGCCTGCTGAACACTTGCCAAGTGGCCGGTGCCACTGAAGAACTGAACTTTAAATTGCATTTCATTTGAATTCGTTTGCATTTAAATAGCCCTCGGGCCTCGTGCAGCAACCGTATGGGACAGCGCAGGTGTAGACCCTCAACACGCCGCCCCCTTTGCTGGTAGAACGTTCTCTCTCGCCCGCCATCCTCCCAGGACCAAGCCAGCGCCCGGCTCTTCCCGCCTCCGTCTGGCCAGTTCTCAGGGCAGCTCCCTGCCTGGCACTTGGCAGGGCACAGCTCTGCGCCACTGCTTCTCCTCTGCACGATGGGGGACGCAGTGACGAAACCGTTTACCGCACTGTCCGATGGGGCAGCCACTAGCCACGTGTGGCTATTAAAATTAATTAAAATGAAACAAAACGTGAAAATCCAGTTTCTCGGCGCACAGGGCTGCTAGAGCTGCCGTATCAGAGGACCGCAGGCGGGCGGCTGAAACGACAGAAATCCATGGCCCCCCCGGTTCTGGGGGCTGGAGGGACGAGATCACGGTGTCGCAGGCCTGGTTCCTCCTGAGGCCGTGAGGGAGAGTCTGTTCCATGCTCCCCTAGATTCTGGGGGGCGCCGGCAATCCTTGGCGTCCCGTGGCTTGTGGACGCATCCCCCCATCTCTGCCTCTGTCTTCACGTGGCCTTCTCCCTGTGTGTGTCTGTGTCCAAATGTCCCCTTTTTATAAGGACACCAGTCACATTGGATCAGGGCCCCACATTCCAGCGCGACTTATCTTAATTAACGACACCTGTGACCATCCTGTTTCCAAATAAGGTCCCATCCTGAGGTCCTGGGGGTTAGGACTTCAACATATACATTTAGGGGGACACAGTTCAGCCCACGACAGTAACACGAGCCACATGTCAAGTGTTCAGTAGCGACACGTGGCTCCTGGCTACTGTTCTGGACCGTGTAGACGCAGAACATCTCCATCATCGCAGAAAGTTCTGTTGGGCAGGGCTGGATAAAGCGCCCAGCTTGTATCCACGTGCCACACTTCTCATATTTTCCTGACTCCTGTTCCCCGTGTGTTTATCTGGGACGGCGACAAGCAGGGGGGCGTCTCGGTGGAATTTGGGGTGAGTGGAACCGGGGCCGCCCTGAAGCTCTCAGCCTGCGTTCTGGGCCTGTGTGAGCTGGCCCAGTCGGCCCCTCCGCCCTGCGGGGTGTCACACGCTTTGCTTTGACTGAACTGAAGGTATTTGCCGCTCTCTCCCACGTCTGGGGGTCTTTGCACCTGCCTTTTGTCCCCATTACCGCCGCCTGCCTGGCACATGCCCACCCTCACCCTTCACTCGCCTGCTGCCTGTCCAACTTTCTGGGCTCAGCTGTAGCATCACCTCCTCCAGGAAGTCTCCCCTGATTTCTCCTCCTCCCGAGGGCTCCTCTGGGCTCCCACAGCTGCCTGTGCATCCCCGTCACAGCTCTGATCACCCCTGGTCATGCATCCATCTCTTCCCCTGGACTATACGCTCTGTGAGGGTGGAGACTGTGGCAGTGCTGGGTCACCGCTGTGTCCCCAACACCCAGCACACAGTAGGTGCTCAATGACCTGGAGCTCTGGGACAACTGGACCCAGCAGCACTGGACCCGCTGAGCCTCGAAGCCTCTCCCCTCCTTCCTCCCCACGAGCCCTCCTCCCTGACACGACGTCCCCAAAGATCCTGAATTCTGCTCATCAGGTGGCCCGAGTGTCTGTCACCCGTTATGGTCCCCCAGCTCTGCACACACCATGGGCCTCCGCCTCCTCATCCGTCAAATGAGGATACTGACAGCCCCTGCTCTCCCGGGATGTCAGTAAGAGGCATGTAAACGCCCTCAAACTATTATGTGTATGTCTTAAAATGAATAATAATAACAACAAAGCCTTATATATCACTCGGTGCCTGCTGTGCTTCTAATCACCTTTGTATTAACTCGTTTAATTCCCACAAACCCTCCAGGAGGCAGATACCACCATCAACTCTGTTTTACAAACGGAGGAACGGAGGCCCGGAGAGGTTAGGGAACTTACCCAAGGTCACACAGCTGGGAAGCGGCAGGGCTGGGATTCAGACGCAGACACGTGGCTTCTTGATCCCGGCCTGTTGCTGCCTCTCTGATGAAAGAACAGAGGAGCAGATGATTGAATGAATGGGTGAATACCAGTCCCTTCCCCCCTCCGAAAACTCAGAACGAGTGTTCCACTTCGGTCCTCCGGCCGGGGCAGATCAGTTGAACGTTCCCATTTCACAGATGGGAAAACTGGGGCTCAGGCAAGCAGGCAGCGAGGGCAGATCAAGGGTCCAAGCCTGGTCACCGCGGCCAAGTTCAGGCCCCAATCTTGGGCGGTCTCCGGATGAGCGCGTGTATTTTGAGCCCGGCCTGGGGAAGTTGGGGGACAGACGGAAGAACCAGGTAATAAATGTTTGCTGATGGCGCACACACAGGCCCGAATCAGTTCTTGCCCCATTCCCCGCCCTGCCAAGCCACTCCAGACTCCTCGGGCCTCCTGGGACTTCCGTGGAGAGGCCTGGGGATGGCGGAAAGCAGGGGACTTAGCTGGGAGGGGTGGGCTGGTCTGTTGGGGCTTTCATGACTCATTCATTCATTCATTCATTCACTTAAGCACTGAATGCCAGGCTCTATTCTGGGCACACACACAGCCTGGCACCTGCTCTCATAGAGGTCCCACTCTGCTGGAGGTGACAATACCTACCTAAGACATGCCCGGCATCATTTCAGTAAGGAGCTAGCCCTGCAGGAGGGTGCGGGGAGAGTGCTCGCAGGCAGAGCAGAGGCAACAGCCTTGAGGCTGCACACGCTGGGTGCATTCTCATGATATTGAGTGGCTAATGTATGCCTTCCTCTTTCCAAGCCCGTTCATGTGGATTATCTTATTGAATTCTTACACACCCCTGGGGGGAGGCGGAGAGCGTTTGATGATTTATCATCATATTTGGCAGCTGAGGAGACCGAGGCTCAGAGAGGGGAAGCGACTTGCCCAAGGTCACACAGCTGGGAGGGGGAGGAGTGGGGACTTGAACCCATGCCGTTAATCAACACAAATGCCACCTGTCACTTGGGACAGAAGGGAGGCCTCAAGTCCTCAGGCGACCGTATTGGAGCCTGGGATCTCAACTCGCTGGGGGCCAGGGCTGTTGTGTTCTGCACCCTGGGGCCTCAGCCTCCTCATCTGTACTAGGGGGTGTGAGTTATTGATGCTCCTCAAGACCCCTGGCCCTGAGACAGTGGGTTCTTAGGGCTGCCAGATTAGAAAATGCAAATTTGGGACACCCAGCAAAATTTGAATTTCTGATGAGTAACGAATACTTTTTTCCCATGAATATGCCCTGAATATGAATAAGCCTAAGTATATTTTTTTCCTATGAGTCTGTCCCAAATATGAATAAGCATAAATATAAATAATTTTTTACTGTGAGTATGCTCCAAATATGAACAAGCATAAGTATAAATAATTTTTATCACTAACTCCTGCAGGAACTCCAGGCTCCGGACTACAAGTCCCATAACCCATTGCGTTATCCCTTTAGGAAACTTCTGTCATGATTTCTTTACTCTCTTTTCATTCATTCATCCAAAAATTGTATAGACCACTCACGGTGTGCTAGGCCTTGTGTTAGGTTATGGGGACACAACAATGCACAGAGCAGACCAAAGTCTTTGCCCTCATGGAGTTTAACGTCTACATTCCTTTGGAGTTTTAAGTGATTTTTCTCCGACTTCGTCCAGGAAGACTACAGCTCCCGTGATCCCTTGTGCTTGCTCGATGGGACTACAATTCCCAGGAGACCTAGCGCACCAGGCTAGCTCCTCGCTTCCTTCATTTCCAACTTCCTTCCGGGTCGCAAGGTCACGTCTTGCCCCCGCGTCTCGCCTCCTTCCTCCCTTCACAACAAAGGCAGAGTTTAAGTAAATCCACTGCAAATAGTTTTCTTTAAGTTTCCGTATTTTCTGATTTGGAGTTTACGTGAAACTTCAGCAGTGTTAGCCAAACAGTC